TTCTAGGTAGGGAGGTGGTTCTGCAGTTACTAGTGCAAGTTCAAGTTCAGGGTCTAGTCTCCAGTCCAGGTCTATGGAGTCACATCTTGGAGGAGGAGGCGGGCATAATGGAAACTCTGGGCATTTGATATTGAAGTCCCAGAGCTTAGAGATCCTGCCGTGACTCTTCTTGGCAGAGTGACCCTTTCAAGTCCTCAACCTCTTGAGCCTTGGGATTTCCTCATCTGTAGAATGAGATCACGATGTCTCCGAGAGTTGATGTAAGATTCAGGGAGATTCGTGCTTCTCAAGCTGCAAAATGCTGCACTTGCTCCATTCAGGTAGGGACAAGATGTTTCTGTTGTCCTTCTCTTTAGACCACCAGGGAGTCCTACTCACCAAGAGAGGTGCTCCCGACAGCCTGGCCGTGCCCTCCTCCCTGGCGATCAGAGATGTGATAATGAACGAAGGCCCCAGTGTCAGGGTGGGAATGGGACGGAGGTGAGGAGGGGTGACCTCAGCTGCATTACCCTCTTCATGTCGACATCCGTGGGTGATCACGTGGCCTGCTCTGGCCGGGGTGGGGGAAGCACTTTACCCTGCCTCTCTTCCGTCTGTGGAGTATACGGAACTGAGAGCTTTGTGCGTATTCTTCTCTGAATCTTAAGGCGTCTTGCCAATGCCTGGCATGTAGTTTATGCTTAGGGAACACATGCTGAACGAATGAGTGAATGCATATTATAAAAAAGAAATTGAGACCACAGGAAATGCCCGAAGCTATGGTGGGCTCGGCCAGACCCATGTGCAGGACATGTCATGATAGGAGACTGCTGCCACACCGGACAGGTGCCTCCTGTCTCTCACCCTCTCCCTCAAGCATTCCATTCGCCTGCTACCCTATGAGAGTTTCTGCTTGCATGTGGATTATGCCGGGGAACTGGAAGCTGCTTTGGGAGGGAGTGGTAGGGGAAGGGTGTTGTGGTTTTGAGCCTTGTTTACAAATTTCTCTGCTGCAGTTGTGATAGAGCTGCAGGCTGGGAGGTGGAGGGAAGCACGTCGCAGGGGGATTGCCACATTGGTTCTGCTCAGACTTTCTCTCTCTCCACTCCCTGGGGTTTCCAGGCAGGCTGGGGCCTGTCCCTCCCTCACCCCACCTTAGTAACACCTCTGCTAGAATCTGGCATCTTTAGCAGTCAAACTTAGCTAACTTTTTTATCAGTGTCCGATAAATCGGCTGGTTATGGGAATTCAGTCTTTCGTCATTTAGTTGTCATTCACTCACAAACATTTATCCTCTGCTTGCTGTGTGCCAGGCCCTGTGTTAGGTTTGGGGCCAACAGGTGGAAAAGACCCGGCCCTCAAGGAGCTCACCATCTGTCGGCAACAGGTTTGAACAGATGAACGCATTTTAGGTTATGGGGGGTTCACTGTCCTGGGGGATCACTGCATGGGAATTTGAGGGGCTTTACTGAGTAGATGTTTTCATCTGAGCAAGAGGGAAGGCTGGCAGAAGCTGCTGGGAACTCTGAAATGCAGATTCTCAGGCCTGAGAGTGTCTGTCTCCTGCCTCCCCAGGTTTGAAATTTTGTTCAGAGTTCCTGAGTCCTGTTTTTCGTCTCTTTCCCCATCTTCCCCCTTCCTACAGACCTTCCCCTCCCACCCCCCTTGGAATCAGCTCCTCTTAGGCTGTGTCAAAGAACCAGGCTAGGGAGTGCAGGGTGGTGGTTGCCCGTGACTGCTGGCCTTCGCAGCCACGCACAAGGAAGGCTGGAGGGAGAGAGGCCGGGGGCGTGGAGGAGACCTGAGTTCTAGACACTTCCCCCTGTCAGGAGCCAGGCCAGAACTCTACCCAAAGGCTGTGGGCGAAGAGCCCTGGGAGGTGGAAGGGGGCTGGGAGATGTGTTTCCACATTTGCACCTGCTGTTGGCTCTGCCCCAACGGCCCCTTCTCCCCACCCGCCAAGCTCCTGTGCGGCCCAGGCTCCCCTGACCCCTGACCCACGTCCCTGCCCGAGCTCTTTCAGCTCCTGGCGCATCAGCACACCACGTGTGTCTGTCGTTAGCTAACTGTGAGTTTGTGTGACTGTTCCTTCCCGCCCTCCACCCCGCTGCACTCTGAGCTCTGGGACGGCAGGACCCATGTCTGCTTTCTCTTTCCAGCAAGGCTAGAGCCAGCACAGAGGAGGCTCGCCGCCCATTTTGTGGAATGAATGAATGCAGCTGGATGCCTGCTGTCCTGTCTGGTGGGGAAGGGTGGCCTGTACCAACTTTCGGATGTGGCTTGGCTGGGAGCATGAGCCTCCCCGGCAGCCGCTGGGGCACCTTCCCTGTCCCGTCCCCACTGAGCTCCGTGGCTCAGCGGGGACCCTGAACCCAAGCTCCATGTCGGGGCCTGGATGACCGCCCTGGGGGATCCAGCCCTCAGCTGTGTTCTGCTCTGCCACCTGTGCCTGTCGCTCCAGCCACAGTGCCTCCTGCCCCCCCCCCCCACACTGTCACTCTTACTGTTCACATGCTGGTCCCTCTGCCTGGAATACCCTTCCCGCCGTCTCTGTCTAGAGAGTGCCTGCTCATCCTTCAAGGTCCAGTGCAAATACTCTTCTGAAACAGCTTCCTGACTACTTTCGAGAGAATTCCCTGCCTTCTGTGCTCTAGGGGTACCTTGCAGTCACCCTGGTATTGGACTTGCCACATTCTCTCACTCTCCTTTGTTTAAGGAGCTGTCCTTCCTCTGGATTTTGGGAAGCTGCAGGGCAGATGTAGGCATTGTATCCTTTAGCCCCCCTTCCTGCCATCTGGAGGCTGGCCAATTATGGGGGCTGATTCAGTGGTTAGGTGGACAGAGCTACTTTGCGGGTCACAGCATCAGGCCCCTCACCCAGGTAGTGAGCAGGCAGGGGCCTAGCCCTTCCTTGCCCACCTTGCCCTCTAGGGTCTTTCCAGAGCCCAGTGGGCTGCCGACTCAGCCTCTCTGAGGTGGGCCTGTCTGTGCTCCCAGACCCAGGCGGGCCTGCTGACCTGCCACGGTCCTGAGCCCCAGTCAAGCCTAGCAAACCCTGTGGGCTGAAGCAGTTGGCAAGGAGAGGCGGAGAGGGTGAGGAGGGCCTGCTTCCTCTGGAGCAGCGGGGGCCGGAACCGACCTCAGGTGTTTAACACGCTGCTCTGGTGGCTCCTGGTATGTTTGGGGCCTCGTGCACAGTAAGGAGTCAAGACCAGGATGGGGAGGCTTCTCTCCAGGGCTCAGCTGCAGCCGAGATAACCAGGGACACATTCCCCTTGGGGACAGAGCTCGGGCTCAGACCTCTGCCCAGGGCCTTCCTCAGCTCCTGCTCTCATTGGGCCCACCCAGTCCTGCCCAATTCTCAAGGGAGAACCACTGCTGTGAGGTAGCAACCCCGCAGAATCGGAGTCTGTCCAGGGTGGGGGCCGGCAGGGGTGAGAGGAGGCAGGGAGGGGCAGGGGAAGGGAGGGCCGGGCCTGGGCATGAGTTGTTTCACTGCTCTCCAGGGCTGGGAGCTGTGGTTGTCCCAGCCTCATTAGAGGGAATGACTGGGTTATTAGGCACAGGTGGTTTAATGGCTAGCTCAGGGGCCAGAAGCTCCCTGGTCCTACCCAGGATCCTGGCCATGCTGCTGCCTTGCCTTTGGGACCTCAGGCCTGGCCCCCCAGCACAGTGTGCCCACCTGCCCTGCCTCCTTCCCTGGCTGGTGAAGCTCCGTGTTGGCCTTGCCACCCACATGTTATTTCCTGGACTGGATTCCTCTTGAGTCCCATGTCTTTAATTCTGTATGGGGCTTCACGGTTCACACAGCTATTCATGTTCTTAGCCCATTCTTTCTGCCAACTGTGTGCGTGCACAGGGGTGCAAAGTCCCGAGAATAATATGCTCCTGAGGGAGCTGGCCATTTGATCTTCTGATTCTATAGTTTGTGTTCCCGTTAACTGCCTTAGAAACTACCTCATCCTACATCACCCCCTCAGGAGACACCCAGGCCTCCTCAGTGCCACTAACAAGCAGCTCACAGCGGGGCAGGCAGGCACTGCATTCTCTTCTCTCATGAGAGCGCAGCAGGATGGAGCTTCTCTGCACACAGGCTCAGCTTCTAGGTGCTTCCGTGGATGGGGCTGGGGGAAGCTGGCGCTTTGGTCCTGGCTGAATTACAGAGTAGAGCAGGCAAGCCCTTCCCCTTCCTGACCCTCAGCTGCCCCAGCACTGGGGCTAGAGTGTTGCCATACTTTTCAGAGGAGCGTCATGGGAAGAGCTCGGGCTGGGAGTCAGGAGACTGCCACGTGTGGGGCCTCAGCCCGTCACCTCTGTTCCCCTTGGATGGAAGCTTCCCCTACCTTCCCCTTCCCTCCCCTTCATTGTTGTGTTGGGTTTCTGGCAGCTGCAGCACCTTCGCCAGGAATCAGAAAAGGAGGATTCCCCGAGTCCCACCTCAGACCCAGCCATTATTTCTTCCCCTCCCTGGCCTCAGTTGTCCTCGAAAGATGGGATTGAGTCTCTTTGTCCCAAGACAGTGAAGAAGCTCTAGGTGTTCAGAGGAGGAGGAGAGAGGGCAGGGCCCAGAAGGAGACCAGCCGGTCCCCACAGACACCTTGGATTGTTTTGAGGCAGCTGTCCATTGTTTGCTTTAAGAAGAAAAGGAGTCGGTTTCCCAGGGAGGTGGCAGAGGGCCGTCATAACAGCCCCTCGCCCTTGGCAAAATAGTGCCAGCCTCCAGCCAGCAGGCTAGGAGACTGTGGACAAAAGAACAGGCAGGATTTAGGAGGGGGATAGAGAGGGGAGGCCTGGCCTCTGTGTCCCAGCTTCCTTGGCACTGGTGCAGGGGCTGTTGGCCAAGGGGGGTAGAGGAGGGCAGGGGAGTACTGAGACTTGTAAGAGCCGGAATGTGAGGGTGATGCATTGTGACCTCTTTTTTAACTGGGAAGGTGTCACAAAATTCTCAGGCTATTGGAAGGGCCCTTTATGGGGAGACCTGCCATCCCCCAGAATTCAGAGCAGAAGGCCCCCACACTCACCATGCTGGCTCTGCGATCTTCCAGATTTTTCCACGGGCTGGAGCTGAGGTCGGCGGCCCGTCAGAAGGTGGGCCTCCTTGGATCGGGCCCTGGCTGGCCAGCAGGTCAGAGGCCCCTGGGCAACACAGACCGGCAGAGACCTAAATGCAGGGCAGGCCTTGGTCCTGCATGTCCGGCATCCCTCTCCCCTTAGCACCCTGGTCGCCTCCACTGCTGTATTCCAGGAGTGATTTGGGGACTGTGGGGCCAGTTGATTAAAACAACCGCATGGGTGAAGTTGCCAAACTGGAATGATTATGTGTCTTGTAATCTGACACCTGTCCGAGGGGCTGGCACACACCTGGAGTCATTCATGGCCCTTTGGCCTCAGAACAGGGGACACGCCTAAGGTGTTGCAAAAGCAGCCTTCCCACCTGAATGACTTCCACCCAGCCAGAGATGTCAGGAGACTCTCTCTTCTCTCCTCGCTGCGGGACTTTGCAGTGTGTGGGTCGCTTCTGATTGGGGTTGTGGGAAGGTGCTCCGTAGAACCGGTTTGTTGCTATGTGGGGAGCAACAGGATTGGAAAGCTCACAGAGCGGTTTCTGCCCTTGAGAAGATGAGCTACGTGCCCTTACCTGGCCCCCAGGTGTAGAGCTGGCCTGTGAGAGGCTCATGCACAGTGCACCTGCCAGGATCCCTTTCGAGTGTTTCTTGCCTGTCCTTCTTGGTGCTTACAGATTTGAATATCTTGGCCTGAGTTGCCCCCCCGTCAGGGGATGGACAGGGTGACATCTTGAACCACAGAACCAGAGAGCTGGAAGGAACCTGTGTAGCTGTCTTCTCCCATTCCTTCATGTTGTGGGTGAGGAAACGAAATTTCAGGGAGGCAAAGCCACGTACCCAAGATCACACAGTACATTCGTGTCAGATTCCGAACAAATCCAGATCTTCAGTTCCTTGGCTTTGAAGCCTTTCTGGAGACCAGCCTGGGCTAGACGTGTGCCTTGGCCCCTTTGTGCCTGCCATCTCTTTAATTCCCGCGCAACTGTGTGAGGAAACATTTTGTTCCCATTGGACAGTTGAGGAAATCAGAGCTCGTGGACATGAAGTGACTGGCCCCTAAATCTTTAATACTGAGTTTTTGGCAGAGTTGGGACTTGACTCTGGTTCTCCATGTGCACGGGCTGAATGCAGTATAGGTGTCTGAAGCCCCAGGTCTATGGTCTGGGGAAACATGGCCCATGGAAGACTGTAGTGGTGTCTGAGCAGAAGGGGTACAGATTTAACTGATGGTTGGCCCTGTCTCAGCTACTCAGTATGGTGTGGTCTTGGACTTGTCTCTGAGCAGCAGAGACCCGAGGCGGGTCTGGAGGCTCTCTTGAGCCAACATGGCAGTGGGTTTTAGAACTGGAAGTCTGGGACAGAGCAGGTGAGTTCGGGGGACAGGCTGCAAAGACCTGGGCAGGTGCCTCCCTTTTAAGGAGGACTCTCCCAGTCAGACAGTGAGAGGCCAGTGGGCCACCCTGCACCGGCCTTTCCCTAGCCTGGGTTCCTCTCTGTGCCCCAGGTTTGAATTTCCTTGCTGGACGCTCAGGTGATGAACCAGGAAAGAGAGGTAGCTGTGTCCACAAGAGCGCTGCTGGGCGTGCCATGTTGGAGGGGTGATTCCTCGACCCTTCTGGCTCCGCTCTGGACCCCGCTCCTAGGTGGGTCTGGGAGCTCGGGGAGAGGCAGGGGTTGCTGCGGTGCCTGTGGCAGAGGCTGCAGAATCTACAGGTGGAGGCACAGAGGACCCACACCTCCCAGGGGCCAGGTGCAAACTACTGCTGAGCCCCCCATTCAACCAGAGGCAGCCTTAGCTCCCCACTCCACCTCCTCCTGTCCCCCCTCTGGCCACTCTCGCTCTCTTCCACCCATCTCTTTAGAGTCCTATCCTGGTTCCCCTCCCCACTTCCTTTTGCTTTCCTCTGATCTCCTCTCTCTTTCTCTTCCTTTCCCTCTCATTTCCAGCATATGGGTCAAGGTCAGAGGCGGTTTTGCCATGAAGCTAATGCAGCCTGAGCTGTAGATGTCCCCCCGCCACCCCCAGCTGCCGTCTCCCTTGCATAGCCTGTCCAAGGCCAGGAAGGGTCCTAGCGATTTGTCCACATGGACATATGTTATTGGAAATTGTGCAGCAGTTTTTTGGTATGCTTTTTCTGAAGAAGGGCCCCTCAAAAAGCATCAGGCCTCACAAAAACTGGCTCTCCCTCGGTCAAGAGCACAGGCTCCGGGAGCCTGGATTCCTGTGTCCTCATCCCAACCACTGATGGGGTGACTGGCCATTTTAGTCAATCCTCCTGAGCTTTGTGTTCCTCCTCTGTGAAATGCAGATGATGATAGTACTGACCTCACAAGGTTGTTATGAGGTTTAAATGAGATAATCTCCATCTGGCACCTAAAAAAAAAAAAACAAAAGCTTCGTGAATGGAGCCGTTATCCTTATTTGTTTCACAGAATATGTATTTGTGGAGCTCCTGCGAGAGCCGGCTCTTATGCTAGGTGCCAGGGATTCAGAGATGAGAGACACGGGCCGAGCACACACCTCTGGGAGGGGGTACGACGTGTCCATCAATCACATCGAGTTCCACAGGTGTCCTAGTGGAGGTAGAGAGAAGACTCTTGGGGGGTTCAGAGATCCTTTTTCATCATTTATTGCCCTCCCCTTAATTTCCTTCTTTCCTCTCTTCCCTCTGCCTTCATTTTCCCCCAGGACATTTTACTTAGGTCATTTTTAGGACAGTGTATTAATTGCCAGTTGTTTTGATCGTACACTTGATGTTGGTATCAGCACCCATCTGCTCCTCCACCCAACAATTAATTTTCTGTGGTGTTAAAGGCACGGTGGTGGGACGCCTGGGTGGCTCAGTTGGTTAAGCACCTGCCTTTCGCTCAGGTCATGATCTTAGGGTCCTGGCATCGAGCCCCACCTAGGGCTCCCTGCTCCATGGGGAGTTTGCTTCTCCCTCTCCCTCAGTCCTCCCCTCCCCCTGTTCACTCTTTCGCTTTCTCTCTTGCTCTCAAATAAATAAATAAATAAAATCTTAGAAAAAAATAAAGGCACTGTGGTTGGAAAAAATAAATAGCTTGTATCTTAGGGAGCCCAGTCTGCCCACATATGGCATTTCTCCTATGAAAGCAGGAGCTTCTGAGGGCAGCAAGCCTTCTAGATCCTTCCTGCTCCAGGTGTGTCTTTGGAGCTCCTAGCATTCATGTGTCACCTTGAGCTTGTTAGAAATGCAAGATCTCAGCACCACCTTTGCCCCGACAGACCTACTGAATCAGAATCTGTATTACAAGATCCCTGGGTGATTCGTATATACCTCAGAGTTTCAGAAATGCGGTTCTAGATCTCTTCCCACACTCAGGAGTGGGTGGAGGCTGTTATTTCTGGAGTGAGCTGAATTTAGAGACTGGAGCTTGCCATAGATGAACCTTTAGGGTTCCCTTCCAGCCAGCAGAGTCTATGGTTCTTTCCTCTGAGCCCAAGTAATTTGAGCACAGTTTCAGTGATAGACCCTTCTGTTGGGGCCCCTCCCGGGAAGTTCCAAGGAGAAGGACCCAGACGGTGGGCATATGCCAGCAACAGCCTGTACCATCCAAGCCAAAGGCTCTGAAATGCAGCGTGTAGGGAATGCAGTGCGCATCTGTCGGGACAGAAGGGGCACCTTAGCTCACTGTGAGGTGTGCAAACGTAGCTCTCTGTTGATTCGCTAACTTTCTGGAGAGGATTTTCACTGCTAACCAACCCTTCTCCCAAGACATGGTTTCGGCCCAGAAGCTGTGGAATTAAGCCTCACCTATCTGCACCGGGGGGGACCTGGGGATGTTGAGAAAGCCTGATCCTGGCGATCTCTGTCAGGTGGGAGCTGACCTTCCTTTAGTGGCCCTCACTGGGGCGAATTCCACTCAGGCTGGGAGTGTGGGGGTGGGGGCAGATAGTCATATCTGACAGAAGGACAGGGCACTTTTGCTTCAATAGGCCACAGAAGTGAAACCTTGCTGACACATCTAATGGGTTCCTGCGGGCCAGGCTTTTGTATCTCTGCAAAGAAATGCATTACCTCAGTTAGACCTCAGGGCCACCCTAGGATGTGAGTGCTGCTATTACCTCCATTTACAGAGGGGGAAACTGAGGCTCAGAGTGTGCTGGGCCCCAGGTTTGTGTAACCTAAGACTCCCGGGCCTTTCCCACTTCATGGGGTGTGGGTGCATCGTGCAGGGAGAGGGTCCACAGTGGCCTCTGAGTCCTCCAGAGACCTTGAAAAGCCACGCAGGCCCCCATAGCACCAGAGCTCTGTGTGGGCCTGCCTGGGCCCTGGGGGCAGTTTCCACATTGCCCATGTAATTTGAAATTGGTCTCAGAAAAACACCTTGTCATTCGGCCTTCTGCCCGCAACTTAGGCAAAGAATGAATTTCAGATTATTGCTGAGTCCAGCCTTTCTTTCCATCTGTCTCCAGAAGATGTTCTTCACTCCACCCTGGAGCAGTGGGTGATTGAAAGAAATAGGGAGGGCAGTGGGGTTGGGAGACATTGCCTTTCATTCTAACTGTGCTATAGATCTGAGACTATGAGCATATAGGACATCGATGATTTTTTTTTTAAGAACCTGGCTAGAAATTAAATTGTATAGATGAACACTTTGTTACATTTATATTCTCAGGATCTATAGCGTGTCCATGGCATAATCACTGTGCACAGCTTTAAATCTGGACTATAAGGGCTCTGTCACTTACTGGCTGTTTCACCTTGGGCACATTCATTAACCTCTCTCTGCCTCACTTACCTCATCTGTAAAATGGGCAACAGTAAAAAGACCCACCTTCTAGGGCTGTTGTGAGAGTCAAGTGACTTAACGTTTGGGGAGTGCTTACTGGTACGTGGTGCGTGGTAAGTGCCACAGAAATACTGCCAGAAAGGTGAACATGAGGATTATTTCAGTCACAGGTTAAATGAGTCATTACCTTCAGAATGTGTTTCTGGATTACCGTGTGCCATGTATTCACGCATGTCATTCATTCTTTAATGCTTTGTCAGCACGGCGTGTTTGTAATTCCGGTTCCAGTGCCACCCTTCGCCAGTTGTGTGCGGGGAGGGCAGGACCCTTACCCTTCTGGGGCTCAGTTACCTGCAGGGTACAAAGAGCTGCACAGTCTGCCTCATAGGGTGGCGGGGAGCGTGGGGGAGGTACGTGGCGGGGGGAGGCTCTGCCCTCCCCCACAGCGCTGTCAAGGTAAGGGGCTAGCTGCTGCTTGCAGATCAGGACTTGCCT